CACACACACACACACAAACAATCCCCAAAAACAACTTTTAATACATTGAAGTAGTGCGTGAGTAATTTTAAGTACTGCCTTTTCCTGGTAATTTAGCAGAAAAACAAACACCATTTTCCCATCTGACTTAGTACGACGCCGTACTCAGAGTGCGGGTTGCTTTGCTTAACTTACCGAAAAGGAGACACGCAAGTAAACAAGGACAACTGAATAATAGAAAATCCATCACTGACATAATCACATTGATCTGTATAACGAATATTAAGTAACAATGTAAAAAAAATGACGCCGTGAAAAAGTCAAGTCACACCAAAATATTGTTTTTCTTTAAAATGACCAGAAATGACGCAGCACTGAAAATGACCTATAGGGTAAAATAATTTCTTTGTTTCCTGGTGTTTATTATATTTGTATGTAAATATAATTTATTTTCAAAATAAAATAGGCCGTATTATAAAGTGAAGAGTAAGGGATGGCTTTCGCAGGTGCAGCCTGCCTCGAGGTCGCGCACGGCAGCGCGCTCCGGCTCTGCACCGTACCTCCCACTTCCCCAGCTTGTTTAAGTGCTCGCCTCCTTTACTTCAATGAGCAATATTGTTGAAAAGTCAGTGCGCCGCTGAACGCCAGCGGACCAGTCTTCAAGCCCAGCCTGCGCGCTGCAGTGCCATGAGACACCTTCTGGTCTGAACTCCGTGCACACGCCGACCACGCTGCGCTGCAAGAGGAGGTTTCTGAACTTTTCTTGGAGGGTTTTGCATTTGATAGGAACAAAGTGGATAAAACGTCCGGGTAGAAGCTGCTCCAGCGTATTCCTGCGGACTTTGGGTTTCTTTGCCAAGGTAAGCCTTTTTGATAGCCACACTGAAAGTTGTGTGCACAGTGAACTGTGTTGTGGTTCCTTTAATTCTTTGGATTGAAGCGATTTGTATTAAAGAAAATCTGCTCATGCGTTTGGGTGCTGTGATATCGATTAGACGTGCAGCGTTAATCCGTTCTTCTGCAAACTTGGACGCTCCGAAGCACACTCGTAATTAATCCGGCATCGGCTCCTTCTAGTACCTTTTACTCAGCCAGCTCCGGACGTGAAAGCTTCCTTTGTGGTTGTGATTTTGTCAGCAAATCCTTGCATTCCTCTCCGCATATACGGGTCAGTATCTCGGGTCAGGATCTGTTGGACAGACGCGCTCAGAGGAGACGCACTTAACAGAAGAGACGCTGAGAGGACCGTTTCCTACATAGATACATGGAAAACAGGATTAGCTCTTATCTTGGTCGTTGCTTCAGACCGTGTTGGAGTCGCATGTATCGGATTAGAACTCGTTATCTGCCCCTTCACCGTTTCTGTCTCTCCCACCTCTGGCTGCTTGAGACTTTAATCTCCGCAATTAGCTGTTGATTCCCCAGAGACAAATCAAGGTATCACCTAGGAACATACCGCCAGTCAGTTGAGAGTGATGATTTCATTTTGTTTTCTTTGTGATGTTTATCCTGTCAAGCCTGGAGATATATATATATATTATATATATATATATATATTATATATATATATATATAATATATATATATATATATTATATATATATCTATGCACCATTTTATTTAGTGGCTGTTTTAAAGAGTTTGCCTTCACTCATATTTTAAATATAAAAGTATGATAATGATCAAAAACACAGATTCCAACTCAAGTTTAAGGACTATTTTATTTTTTTGCGCTTGTCTTTGGTTGATGTTTCTGTAAACTGAACTCTTAAAAAAAACTTTTGATATCAATGAAAAACTGTAAGTTGAACAAGGTGCTGTCATTTTTGGGATCATGTGGTGTGGATTTCTCACTTTCCCCCCTGACATTTTATAGAATAAGCAACAGAACACAAATGCATAAACCTCTGAACTTGATAATAGAAGGCAAGGAGTCAAAGATTCCTCTAGGGGTTTTGGAAAGCTGTGCTGGGCATTTTACTGTTTTCCAGTCATCCACTTCAGGGTAGCCTGTCATAGGACAAGAGGCAGGGTACAAAGGTTTTTTCTAACTTTTGAAAAATAAACAGTTATTCTAAACAATATTTATATCTTATCCATCCTTATCCTTCTATCTTTTCGATTCATCCATCCAAAAGAGCACTTTTAGTCATCAATATTCATGTCTAAACTCTCTGATACTGCAGTGGTAATATGTAGAAGGAATGCCTGCAATGACTTGTTTATCTAATAAATATAGACAGCAATATGCTGAATGTGACCTCCCGTCTTCTCCTTATATTGCAATTCGCTGCCTTCACTGTCTGCTCCGTGATGAGTTTGGGGTAGTATAACAAACCCAGCGTGGAGTATGACTATGGGAAAAGCAAAGAAAGGTGGAGACAGATGGGATGGACAGAAGTGAATACAGGAGAGTAAAGCAAACATTCCTGACGCGGTGTCTCAGCAATTTAATTAAGGTTTCTGGTGAGATGGTGCAGCGAGCACCTCGAGGTGAAGGCTTAACCTCAACTCTCCTCATCTCAAGCTTGGACTAATCCCAGGGGTCAGCTAATAAGTGTTCAGGTCGAGCCACCATGACAACTAAATGGGGGGGAACATGAAGGAAAGTTCCTCCATCAGGGAGTTAATAAGCTCATGAATGAAGTAAAGAGGTAAAAGGTGAAGAGGGTTGGTTGGATGGATGTGTGTGTGAGATTTCACTTGTTATCAGCCACACCAGCTAACACCCCAACCCCCCCCCCCCCCCCCCCCCTTAGTGGAGTTTAAATGAGCCCTGCGGTCCTCAGATGTTTCACAGCTAAAAGTAACCATTTATACAGAAGACATTACATTTATTTGCATTTCCACGAGTCTTCCTCTAAGCTCAACATTATTGACTTCTTTCCTAGCCTTAACATCTTGACTCTTTACTAAAGGAGTGAACATAGCCTGTGGATCCAAAAAGTGACTGATCCTTTCTTACTAATGGCCAACAGGTGGCGACCCACCAGCCACGTTCTACAGTAGTGAGCCCACTTCTCCCTTTATTTCTGACCTCAGTAAACCCGTTCTTAACGAGTTCATGGTTTCAGGTGCTAGTTTAAAAATCTTAGTCAATGCAGTCTGATGTTCATTTTGTAAATTATGATTTTGAGCGATAGAGCAGGGTTATGCCTTAGGGTGTGGCTGTCTTGTGATTTTGACTGGCAGTTCGTTACTGTCCCACTCCTGATCGTCTGCTTTCAAAAATCCAAGATGACAACACCCAAAACGCCAGGCCCACAAAATGATGGGTGAAGTCATAGTCGGTACATTCATTTTTATATATTCTAGGTATATAACACTAGCTAGACTTTCCATAATGTGACTTTGCAAATGCATTCACATCCACATAAGTTGAATAACACCTAGCTCTTACACACAAACACACACACACCCCTCCTTTGAGGTTAGAATTTGGTCACTGTACCAAACTTGAGTAGGCTTTTTATTGGTAAACAACATTAGTGACACAAAAAGCGGTACTTATTTTCTAGCCCTTGTAATGAAGTGAACTTCCCTCCAACACCGTGCTATTTATATTTCCGTAGATTTGTAAGCCTCGATGAGCTGGCGGCACTGTTTTTCTTGGCTTTCCTGAATGAAAAGTTTCTCCCTCCCTACTTCATCCTGACACTTTTACCATCCTGTCATTCCTTTCTTGTTTTCTCTGCGTCCGCTGCGTTTTACATGTGCAGATGTGACATTTTTACATTGCAGAGAGACTCCCGTCAAGCCTCACCCTCCTGCTCCCTTGTTCTGGTTTCTTCTTCTCTGTTATCCAGCTTTGTTGGACTAACGCTTTTTTGTGGCTTTCTCTTTTATGTGGAACAGAAAGTCCCAATTAATCCAAGGTAAATTGTGATAACCACCCTGCCTGTATCATAATCAGTAACAGAATTTGTTTACATTCAGTGTCACTTTTTTAAGTTTCGGAGCGTTTTCACACCTTTTTTTACACTCTGTTCTAAATCAATTGACGAGTTTGTAAACTTGTATGTTTTTCCAACAGAGAAAACTCCAAGTGAACTGAAATGCGTCACTACAAAACCATGTGAGGAGGTTTGAGAAACCAGGAAGTAGTGTGAGGTCAGTGCATCGAAGCTGAAAAAATAATGGAAATATTAATAGCACAGTGTTGGAGGAAACTTTACCTTATTACAGGCACCAGACAGTACATACTCTCAATTATATTAATTATACTATATTGCCTATAAAAACTTTAGTCAGCTATTGACCAAGTTCAGGCCTGAAGGTCAGATTGTGTCTGAGGTGGGAGCATCAAAGTCAGTATGGGAAGAAAGTGCTGTAGCCTGAACTAGTGGATAATTTTTACTCTTGACATTTGTATTTATCTGGGTGACTTTAATCATTTTACTTCTGGTTGTTACAGTTTGTGTACTTTGCATATCTGCGGTACTGCTGCATCCCAGAATGCACAGCGTTTAGCTCAAACTTGCAGCGTGCACATGGTGTTTGGCTTGGCGCGAGCTCACATTCAGATCATATTCTCAACATAAACGAACCACTCTGGAGTTCGCCTGATACCGGACTGAGACCACCTCCTATCAGGGGTGGTCATTTTGGTCCACACCCAAGTGCCATTACCATGTTCACATCTGCACAAGTGAACCGCACCAAGGGTGGAAATGAAACAGAGTTCGAGTTTAACTGACTCAACAGCGAATGTGCGAAAACACCCTCAGTCTGTTTAGAACTCCAAAAAGCTTTCAACAGAAGCCTTGCAATGGAAAAAATTAATGTAAGAGACCTCATTTGAAACTGACTTTCATCTGCTACCTTGTTTATTTAGTGCTGTTCTGGTGTTTAGCCTTAAATTTGTTTCAGTATACACTAATAACATAGTGTATACTGTGTCTGAATCTCAAATAAAGTCCAATACTGAGTTTATGTGTGTTTAATTTGTTGTTCATAATTAGTTGTAAGAAATTTTAAAGCATATCTCCTCTCTCGGAAAAATCCATTCCTGGAATCGTTATATTTTCTACAAAAAAACATATCAGTTGAACAGTTGAATATTTACATAGATATGTCTTCACATTGTATCTTTAAACCAAACGCTTTATCAGTATCATCAGCTGTTATTCTGCTGTTATTCAGTTGCAACTGTTGTTTCCATCACATTGGTATTTGAGCACAAAGTGTAAAGATAGAGGGAAGAATTCGCTCTTGCTGTTGTTGCAGATGTGCGGTGGGTTGAGCTGCTTGTCAGCTCAATTGAGAACATTTAAGGAAGTGAGGGCTACGCCGATGGAGCAGACGTCCAACATCAAGCCTCCGACTGCTAATAAATCATTCTGCCGAGTTGGGTCATTACGCTGCTCTGGATTTGCTCCCTTTTGTTATTTTAGCAGTTGATGAATGCATTTCTTTCTAACTTAACTAGTGTGATAAATTTAAACAATTTAAGTGTCAGAAAGAGGAACTTGTATCATGTTATTATCTCAATGACTGAAGAATCCCAATTTCCACAGTCACAAAAAACATCTTTGAATTGTTTTGTGCAAAACCTTTAAGACAGCAAATTTGCAACGTCATGAAGAACACAACCGCTTAAAAAATACGCTTATACTCAATTTACTTTAAAAAAAACCCCCAAAGATCGAGACAAAGATTGTTTCAGTTACTGGAAGTGGATGCCTCTTTTTTTCTTGCAGCCTGTTATGCATCTAATTTTTGCCTAAATCCACTAAAACATTCATTTGAATGACAGGATTTGGGCTATATTGCTAAATTTGGTCTCTGTTTTCAGCAACATTAAAAAAAAAGGCTCACGTTACATCTTTACAAGCCTCCTTGACAGCCGAGGAATTCAAGACTCAAACAACACATAACAACGTGAGGCTTAACACGCTCACCAGAGGGGAACCTCCTTGAGTTTAAACCCTGCCTACTCCCCTTCCACCACCAAGAATGGTTTAGGAGTTGTTACTCCTTTTACTAACCCGTGAAGCATGCCCCCCCCCGAACACCCACCCTCACAGTGTGTTGTATAAACACTGGCGGCTCAATAGTCAATAGGAAGGTAAAGAGCGTGACACATGCAGGCTCCTTGTAACATTCCTGTGTGGTACCAGGAGACACCAGGAGATGTAAGATGCCTCCAGTAGAACAACTGTGTTTCTTTATGCAGAATGCAGGACAGTCAACCTTCTGATGACTTGAAAATACCTATTTTTCCACTCGGTCATAGCACTTAATGTGTGACGAGTTTAAGAACAAAATCTTAGTATTCAACAAAAGTTCCCCTTGGGGTTGAGACCTTAATAAAACTGCAAAATCAGCTTCTAAAAATGACAATGACCATTAAGCAAGTAAGCATTTTCCTTGCCAATTGAGAGCTGAGAGAATCAGTCTCTGTTTCATATAAAGAAAGCTTTCAAATTCAGACTTGCTCCTTAATCTGCCTTTAAGATAACACTTCACCACCCTGTCCTTCAGTGGGAGATATACCTGAGGGCAAGTGTGTATCTATGTATATGTGTGTGTGTGTCTTTGGATGGGGGTAGTGTAGTAGATTAGAGAAAGCCCAGCTTCCAGCCCCCTCTTTCTGAGTCCCTTTCCATCTTTTTTTTTCCTCCTGGGGGCACATAGTCTTGGTTTGCACGCATACACACCCTTTCATTCCCATTCACAGCACAAGTCAACACACACACAAACACACATGGCCTGGGGACTGCAGGGCCTCACAAAGCATTTCAAAGATCAGAGGTCTGGACCTGTGATATTTTCAACAAGTCAGACAGACAACAGGTGAGGACAGAGGCCGTTTGACAAACCGGCATTGTTGCTCAATACAGCCGCGTGCACTAAAGTTGACGTGTGTGCCTAACTAGTTGTACGCACCAGGACTTTTGAAAGATCGCTGAGCCATTGTTAGGTGAGGTGTTACTTTAGGGGACCTCTATAAGTCTGCATAGAGGTGCATGTGTAGTATCGTGTTTACTCTCAGACAGGTAAGACCTGATTTTGTCTGTTTTCAAATCTCCGTTTGCCTATTTGCACAATTCATGAGTGAGGGTTTTTTTTAAATAGAGAATATAATGCACATTAACATAAACAGTTATTCGGTTACATTAAACACCCTCTAAATTGCAGCTCTTTGAGACTGCACAGAGCTGACTACAGATGATTAAGTAGCTTGTAGAAGCACCTTTAGCAGCAATACCTCAACTTGCTGTTGCCTTTCCTGCTCTACATTGTCTTATAAAACAACAGAATTCTGCAAACTACAGAAACTTTTGCTTTTAGACGTATAGAGGTGCTCACACTTAGTGAGAAATAATGAGAGGATGTGAGGTAGATCTTCTATTATATGTTTCCTAAAATGTTAATGCTGGTCTGTCACAATATTACGCTGCTTAATGCTTGCCTTAGAAGTCAGATATCGGTGCTGGGAGTGACGTCACTCCAGTGTTGAGCGCATTTTAGTAGTCAACTTGGAAAAGCAAGGAAAAACAGGACCTGTTTAGCCCCTTAGCAAGGTACAGGCATCCATGCATCACTAGCAATGCAATGTAATGGTTATTATTTTGGCTTAAAAGCACAGCTGCAGCACATTGAAAGGCAGATCCTGGTCAATGCCCTGATATTACTTATTTAGCCAATCACAAATACACAACAGTGACTTTATAGATTGCAAGTTGTACAGTTTTACTAATGTTAACATGCATTACGTGCGTTGGTCGTGCGGGTGTTGGTGTAAGGCTGGAAGTCTGACCTGAGGGGACGTTCCAGTTGAAAATTCTATCTTGGACCTTAGACATTTCGACTTCAAATGGAGTGCACCAATGGCTCTCAAAGCATGCATTATCTTGGTAGCATTCTGCAGTCTTCTTTGGTGTTGTGTTGTCAGGATTGCACATTTAACTCAGTGAAGAGTTACTGAAAGCTTGCTATGGCAGAATGAAGTCAAGAGTATTCTTAGGACCGATTGCTAGCAAGTTTAGTACCTAATTTCTAGAGCTGGGCTCAGGCCATTGTTTTTGGGTAAGAATCTGGTTTTAAATTTTGTATTTTTAAATTACTAACTTTGAGACTGATATCTTAACTGTAAATAAGACCTTAGAGTTTCCTTGCAATAGCAACAGAACAGTCAATTGGTACATGAGAGTACTGGAAGGATAATCTCTAGGTGGTTGATCAGGCTTTGGTGTAAGTTAAGGGAGTACCAACAAAAAACCCACAAACCAACTAATTAATGGTTGTTAGTTTCAGGATTCCTCTTTTTAAAATGCTAGGTGAAACTAAACTGGGTATTCCAGCTTCCTCCCACAAACAGAAGAAAAACATAGTCTTTGGTTAGCTGGACGTTGGTGTGAATGTGAGTAAAAATGGTTGCTGATGGACTGGGGTGGGCTGGATAGTCCAGGTTGTACCCTGCCTCTAGTCATATGTCAGCTGGGATGGCCTCCAATAGATAGACGGAGTGTAACAGTGACTAATGAATGAAGAGGCATAATTGATCCCTTTGGGGGTAAAAGGAGTTGTGCAACAGTGAAAAGATATCAACAAAAGTTACTGTAAAGGCTGAATCACATCCATGACTGCAGGTGTGATGCTACACTTGTTACCCAAGAAATTCAACAGTCAGACACTTAGTGTCTGTGAATAACATAAATCACTGCTTTGCTGTTCAATAACAGCCTCGGGTGGATTAGCAGCAACTTTATGGGCTCTTTGTATGAATGTTGAGTCTTGCCAGTTATGTTGTAACTGGCAAGTTACCATAACTGGCAAGTCTACTGTTATCAATTAACAGAAATTCTTTCTTTGTAAGAGGATAAATGTCATGCACATGTCAATCCACAATGATGATGTGTAAAGAAAAAAGCTTTTAGACAGTGCTAATCAGTACAGAAGTGTACTGTATGCTAGTGCTCATTCATATCTTGCATAGAACTTTTGTTGCCTCTCTCACATACATACTGATAGAAACACACAGGCACGCAGTCACAGGTCTTCCTTGGGGGCCTCGCTGCAGCTGGCAGGGGATTAAGGGGTCAGGAGTCAAAGGGGGACTCAGTCAACCAGAAGACTGGGACAAGAAACTGACCAAGCAGAAGAAG